GTCAGACAGGAAAGTAATGGGGTCAGATGCGCAGGGCAGATAAATGGCTCCGCTGCTATGCAGATGGACAGAAAGGTGACAGCTGGGCTAAGTCTGGAGAACCATACAATGGAAGCAGAGACACAAACCCATCGAGGGGTGACTTCCTTTTCGATGCCTTAGACATGGCTTAAGCTCATTCAATGTATAGAAAGAAAAACTAGTTTTTCTCCTAAATGGGACTACCAGTCATTATTCACTAAGTAATTCAAATCACAAATTCTGTTTTTATTTCATTTCTTAAATTTATTTAAGTGCCATATCCCATGGGCTCTAATACCTTGTTATCACTCACATTCATTTGTTTTCCTCTTCTACTACATGGCAGTCCACTGTTGTTTCTGCCACTGAACCACCTTGTAACCAATACGACACATCCACTTCTGACCCTGGAAACACATTCTCCATCTTCCAGAATGATCTCTGTAACACTAGCAATCATACTACCCTCTTGTACAAAGCATCAGTGGCTTCCCATTGTCCTGGGATAACACCTACATTTCTTAACGTTGCCCACAGTCCCTCTGGGCCCCGGGCCCTGCCTGGGAACAATACAGTGTGGAGCATTACAGGGCACCTCTTCTGTGCTAGGCACTGCACTGTGCTTTGCAGGCATCGTTTCATTTTTTATTCTCTTGGCAGCACTGTGAGGCAAGAACTACTAGCATCATCCCCATTTTGCAGATAAGGAAACTGGGTCGAAAAGCAATATGGAACTTATTTATAGTTGTACAGATAATGAAGTATCTAGGCCAGGCCTGTCTGACTCCAGAGAGCATGCTCTTAAATCCCACACTCCCCCCAAACCGTGAACTTCAACCATCCTAAATACTGTCAAGTCTTAGAACTCAGCTACTCACTCTTGCCTTGAAGCCTTCATACAAACTATTTTCTAGGTCTAGAACTCCATGACAATTTCACTGTAGGATAATTACTCATAAGTAAAGTGTGGTGGTGTATATCGACAATACTAGCACCTAGCAGGCTGAGGCAGGAGAGCCTGTCTCTGAATAAATGAATGAATGAGTGAATGAGTGAAAGAAGGAATATTGAATCTCTTTTTAAAGGTGTTTGCTTCAAGGAACTCTCCCTTTACTTCTTTATGGCCTGTTTCCCTTTGGCAAAACATCCAAATTGTTACCCCTGGTCCCCAGTGCTTGCTATGGTATTCACTATTTATTGCTCAAATACATGCATGAATAAATGCTGTAGGGGAGAAACTCCATAAAATGGAAATTTCATCTTTGCAAATTAATGTGAGACAGCAAGAAGGCGAATACATCGCTTATCCATTGGCTCCTTACTTAGTAGCTTCCAGGTCACAGCCAATACTCTCAATACTTGAGAACTTAAGAGTCCTTCTGGGCAAGAGACTTATCAACACGAGCTTACTGAACAATATAAATCAAGTACCTCTTACAACAATGGCAACAGGAAAGAGTGATAGATGCAGAGCTGAGAAAGAAATGAAGGTCTATAGGAAGGTCTATAGGAAGCCACTACACTTCAGAGCACGGTGTCCTTTTGCAGAACAAACTCAGCTTGAGAAATCCTTTACACAGTCTACTGCCCTTGTGGAAGAGGAGTTCAGCTTGAGATATCCTTTACACAGTCTACTGCCCTTGTGGAAGAGGAGAGGTACATTCACTAGATATGTCGGCACTTTGCATCCCATTTCATCTTACAAAAGCTCTGCGTTCTTATCCTGATTTTATAGACAATCGAACACAAGGAAAGCTAAGGATCCTGCCCAAGGTCATGTAGTACATTAACAAGGAAGCACTTGAACCCAGGTCTGACTCTAGTGCATCTACTTACCACTTATGCTGCACAGCTTTAACAGAGCACTCCCCAGACCTCGACACTTTTATTGTCAATATAACTCTTAACAAGTTATATTACTTAGTTTCCCACACAAATGTAAAAAGCAGCGAGGTGAAAGGCCAAGAAAAGATCAAGGTGAAGTAGAGTAACAGCATGGGGAAGGCAAACCTCCCAGGCCGTGTACTGACATACTCCCCACAACACTGTTGGATGTGCATAGTGATGACTCCACTACTTAAGAAACAATACCACAGTAGGTATACAAAGGTCTGGAGAAATAGTTCCTTATGTCCAAGGGACAGAATGCACATATATTGAAAATTAACTCCTTCCTGTGAAATGAATTATAACAGATTCTAGAGTGTTTGTAACAAGTATTTGAAAACCTTAGCTGTTTAAGATAATTATTTTATGGCTATGATTGCGCCTCTTTTTTAAGCCACTACAGAAAACTGTCATATCTTAATACACGGTCACTGAGCAGTCGTCTTCTTATATATAAACATTTCTCCTGCTCCTCCAAATTTTAACACACCTTCTAATAAGACAGGATAAAGTGACTGTAGGAAAAATGGCAGGAATTATAGTATTTTAAACCTTACTGCACTCACAATTTAAGTTGGTTTGTGTGTGAAAAGAGGAAAGAAACAATTTAAGGGAAAACAGAAAATAACTGAACAGCCAAGTATTTACACCAAATGCCTTACCTGGACCCAACTTTTCTTTCTTTTCCTCCCCACACCCACCCCTCCCAGGGCAGGGTCTTGGCATGTAGCCATGTACTGACCTGGTACTCATTATGTAGCCAGGCTGGTCTTGAACTCCTGGTGGTATTATTCCTCAGCATCCTGGGAGTATGGAGAGTAAGCTACTGAACGCCTAACTTTGGGTCCAACTTTAAACCTGGACAAGTGTTATCTTCTTTATGACTTAGGCTGGTTTTTATTATTGTTTTCTAGTTCTATTTTAAGATGCTTTTAAAAAATTAAAATCCTGCCTTTGTTGTTAAAGAGCCAGAAAAAGTTACCTTGCCAGTTACCCTGAACAAAAAGAAAACATTTCATGCAATTCCTCATTTTTGAGGCTTTCAATGTGAAACTTTCCACAGAGAACACTGTAACAATGTGAAAAGCACACTGGCTACACTTGGCAACAAACAGAAAGAAATACAAAGACTGGACTTGTAATTAACCAGACCTTTCATATATATTAAATTCCACAGGCAATGTCATTTCTCCCGAGAACACCATAAAAACAATTCCTGTTCATCTATTTTTGAAAACCGTTTTTAGTTTAAATTGTTCCATTTGGACCCAATATTCAATGTTTTACAGAACCCTCCAATGCCTTCTGATGTCATATTAACAGCTAACCAGTTAGTTACCCCTTGGGATCAAAAGCAACGTGAATAACTACAAGTCAAATAACATCGTCTAGTTAAGTTAATCTAGAAATGCTCTTACCTCGACGCTCTTGAGAATGAACTGGCTTCTCTCTCTCACATCTTTAAAGGGACATCTCTTAGAGAGCATAAGCAGATGAGCAAGAAGTTTATTCATCCCATCCAAAGAAACAGCATTTGAAAGCCCGTCTGGAGGTCGATAAGGTGTCTCTCTCGCTGAACGAAGGAATTCGGTTTTTCTCAAAACGATCTGCCTAATGTTTTCCAGTGCTGTCTCTCTAGTAGTCGAGTCTCTACTGCACAGTCCCTCCCATCTCACTTCATTCTCTCCTTCAGCCATGACAATCGGGAGCTTTTTCTTTTTCGGTCTTTAGTCAGTTACCTTTCAGTATTCCCCCAAAGCAGTCCGTCTTTTTAAAAAAAACAAAAACGAGAAACGTTTAAGAATAAAGTCAGAGAAACCCAGCCGTCATGAAAGAAGGCGTCTGGATGGCACTGGGAATCACACGTGCTTTTTTAAGTTGATGCTTCAAATCGATCCACAAGGCGGATCTCCCAAGCACCCTCTTCCTACACGAAAGGGCAGACTTCTGACAGAGATTGAAAAGAACTTGGAAAGTTGCAATCTCACAGAGCTAGTTAGCTGGACAGGGAGTCCCGGGGAAGTGTTCTCTGTGTCGCAGGGTCAGCGGATATCCTCACGTTGTGGAGCTGTCAAATCCGTGCTTGGTCCTAACAGGCTGGTAACAGTAGAAGGTTCTCCAGCCATTCGATTTTTATCTGTGCAGCGGCCGGTTCTCGAGCGTTCCCACCCCGCCCTCCTCCGACACCAGTCTCCGCCCCCCTCGGCTCCTCCTAGCGCCTCCGCAGGGCAGCGGGCGGGTGCTGGCCCGGTAGGCGGCAGACCCTGGCCCTTAGCTGCTGGGGCCCGAGGCTCCGGTGCTCCAGGGACCGCAGTGTCCACCAGTCACTGTGTCAGCGGCGACGGAGGGCGGCGTCCCCGACCCTGCGGGTTCCTGTCTCCCCGGGTACGCCGATGCTTCTCTTACGCCTGTGCCCTTGCCCACCTCCGCCAAGCCCGAGGGCACCCCACGACCCAGCAGTCATCGAGCCCCGGGCTGCGCCGCTGAAGCTCAGGGCCCGAGGCACAGAGCCCGCCCCTTCGCCCAGCCCCGTCGGTGGGGCTCGGCCCAGAGGGCGGGAGCAGGGAGGGGAGACGGGGTCCTCACCCCCAGCCCCTCCCCTGTCCCCGCCCGGGACCGCCAGGAGCCGCCCCTGCCCCGAGCCTGCCTCTCCGCCCAGGCACACGAGACCCGCAAAGGCAGCCATTGGAAGCAGCCCCGCCCTCGGGCAGAGTACCTCCGGACCCCGAGTCCAGCGCGCGCCGCCGACTACGGCCGGCTGCTGCGCATGCGCGACGCCGGCCAGCGCGCATGCGCGGTCCGCGGTGCCGTCCGTTCTTAACGTTTGGAGGCGCTGGCTTGAAGAAGGGGAAGGAAAAGTAAGGAGTACAGATGCCAGGAGATGTTTATCGCACACGAAAAAACCGAACAAATAAAGGTGCTCTATAATATTCCTAGTAGAAATGGGGTATAATTGAAGATTAGCCTGAAAAATAGTGAGTGACAGCCAAGCCCCAGATTCAGTAGGCAGGGCGTCTTTGCGTTGGCTTTTGGGAAATGTAGTTGTAATGCTACCGACGCGCTCTGTTTGCGACAGAAACTACAAGTCCCAGATGCCACCGCGGCACTTGTCTTTTGCCCGCGAACCAACGATTCTGGAGGCCGTGGTTAACCGGGAGCGTCCGTCTGGTAAGCGTGGTAGGCTTGACTGTGACCCATTCACTGAAAATGTTTTTCCTCTGAAATTTTGGTGCCGAAGCCATCTGGGATTTCTTTCTTTCAGTTCAGAGTCTTTTCCCAGTGGCTTGCCGGGAGAGAAATAGTGCAGGTGCCCAACACCTTTTGGTGGGTGACTGAGGCAAGGATTTGGGGATCATTGTTTGAAAGGTCGAGGAGCAGCCTTAAGACAGGCAAGCTGGAAAGAGAAAACAAAACACACACAAACCGACGCCGCTGCTTCCGCTGTCCTCTTGCACGTGAACCAGTGCTGAATAGGTCGCTTAGGAATCCCTCAGCGTTGCAACTGGGATGTGTTTTGTGCTCTGTTTGCTTAGTCAAATAGAATCCGAAGGAGATCTCTGAAAGCAAGTCTGTTTTGTGTGAGACTGAAAAGAACTCGCAGTGTCCTTAGCTTTGAAGTCTTACAAGCTTTGAATGATAAGGTCATTTTTCTGAAGGTGTTGTGAAGTTTTTTATACTTGAGAAAACTCAGGCTTGGAAAGTTTTTAATAGACTGGCAATCGGATTAGATTTTAATCCTTTGTTTTACAGAGTAAATGTAGCCATAAAATGTTAATCAGGGGCTAGAGAGATGGTGCAGTAGTTAAGAACACTTGTTCTACACAGTACCTGAGTTCGATTCCCAGCCCCAACTTGGCAGCTCACAGCCATTCATAATTTCAGTTCCAGAGGATCCAATGCCCACTTCTAACCCCAGCGGACGCCAGACATAAACCGCGTGCACAGGCATTCGTGTAAACAATACTCTCATACATAAATCCAAAAACATTATAAAAACTAATGAGGCTTTTAACATGTAGAAGTGTAACAGTAACTTTTATTCACTTGATGTAATTGTGGTCTGGAGGCTTACTGCCTCCCTCTGTTAACCTAGGCCCAATCCTAGAAGTTTTTAGCTGCTGTAGAGGCCTAGAATGTTTTCAGCTTTTGAGACTTACTGCTGGATAAGCTCTCTTTCTGAATTCTTGCTGGCTGGTTCAACTCAGCTGCTCTGGCTCAAACTCCTCTCCACACTGATTCAAACTGTCATCTCTTGCTTCTGACTGAATTGCTCTGCTTGGCCTCCAACTAACTCTTGCCATCTGTTCTAATCTTCTGGCTCCTTCTCTTTCTCTGGCTCAGCCTGTCATTACCTGTGTCTAGCTTGTTCTCTCTTCAACCCGTTTCCCAGTAAACCGCCTCCTTCCTCTCTCCCTCTGTGCTGCTCCCTCTTATGCTGCCTCTCTCTCCTCTCTCTTCTCATGACGGTTGTGCAGATCCTATTCTGTCAAATCTTTCTCTGATTCATCACTTTGCCTCTCAGATATCACTTTCAAACATGGCTGCTTTCTTACAAACTAACTTTACCTTCATTGTTTGGGATTAAAGGTGTGTACTAAGAGTATATCTGTATTCTAACCAGAGTAGCCATGTTTCTGGATTAAAATTCCTCTACAGAAGAGTGGAAAAGACATAACCCCTCATCTTATTAGAAAACGAATATGTAAAATGCAGTTGTAATACTGTGTGAAATTATTGGCTATAGGAACATGTAGCCCAGCCTTAGAAAGTCAGGGAAGTCTTCATCCCAAGGAAAATGAAGGCCAAAGGAATAGCATGAGGCTTCAGCCAACAAGTGCCTGCTGAGTGCCTTTTGTTCAGTAGGACATCATTGACCTTGTATTCTAAGATAGTAAATAATATAGAAACATAGCGAAGAAAACAATGACAGCCAACTGGGGAGGAAGGAAAAGTGCTGGACCGTGGGAACGAGGCTTCCCTCTTCAGTCTAAGGAGGATCGTTGCTGGAGCATCTGTGCTGGGTGACTGTCACCTCAGGACAGCTGTTAGAAGATGAGCTTGCAAGGTGGAGTTGCCCTTATTCAGAGGCCTCCAGTATTGGGAGGATCTTTTAGCCTTAAAGCTGGTGTGGGTGGGGAGTAGGGTACAAAGGGGTGAGTGACACAGACAATGGGCAGGAAGAGTCTGCACTGGGAGGTAGGGTGGTGTGGAGTTCTCTGTGCCTTGTTCTAGGTGGGCTTAATTCTCCAGAGTGTCACAGTTGACCAGGGGCCGTGGGTTTAGTTTGGGAATTTGGGGGCATGGGGTGTTTTGTGTGTTTTGGGGTTTTTTTGGGTAGGCTCCTCCAGTTACCTTTCTTCAAGTTAATTTATGCTTTGCAGCCTTTGATGCAACAGTAGTTAATATTTGTAACAGAACTAAAGAAAGGAAGAATCATTGAAATCAAGGGCTATTGTGAGTTCTAAAGGTCATCCAGCAGCAACTTAATCATCCAGGTGAACTAAGGATTCACGAAGGACACAAGGTGTGGGGAGAGGAGACATGGAAGGACTGGTCCAGAGGCGGGTGTGAAGGCAGGAGTTTGAAGCCAGCCTGAGCAACGTACTGAGACCTTGTTTCACAGGAAATAAGACAGTAAAAAAAAGGAAGCGTGACTTGCTGTCATGGAGAAGTATGTGGTGGTGTATGGGATAGGGAAGCCGTCAGCAGATTGGCCACATGCCTTGGGAGATGGGAGAGAAATGAGGAAGACTTAGTTGTAGAGACAGTTCGAGGTTTCATTGTAATGTTTTGGTAATGGTTGTTGATTTTGCCAAAGGAGGTAGACTCTGTGATGTTCAATGGATTTGAAGTTATCCACAAAGTGATTCTGAAGGAGCAGCCAGTGTAGAGGGGAATCCCTCAGTGTGTCCTACAAGCAAAATGAAGAGAGAGAAGAGGAAGGAATGGCTGTTAAATGCTGGTTTGGGTGTATTGACATAAGGACTAATTGACCACTGTGTGACTTTTAATAGAGGTTACAGAAGCCATTGCAAGGACTTGAGCTCCTGAACCTGACCCACCCGCCGTCCCCCGGGTTAGACCCTCCCCTATCCCACAATCAGAGTGGCTACCCATGATAATGTTCCATATATCCAGACTGTAACTAAGTTGTTATCTGACCTGAGGAATCAGAACAAGAGGGAGTGAATTTCCCTAGCTAGCTATTAGGCGTGACAGTCATGTTCCCTCTGCTTTGAGGCCTGCTTTCTTCAGTCCTTCCAGATGGTAACACAAAGAAATCTGGTGTTAACCAGTTACTTTCTTTTGTTCTGTCTCATCTCTCTGTCCTGACCTCTGGTGGGAGGTAACTTTGAGGAGACCAGTCTACTCTTGTTTTTGCTGTGTTTTTGCCTCCCTGGCTGTGAAACTAACCTCTGTGCGAGCCAATGAACCGCTCAGCTTATTAGATGGAATGAAGTGCTACTCGTTCCAGAGTTGAGAATGAAGCTCATGTAGGCTTCTGTAAATTGCAGCTTTGTTGTTCGAAAGGTCGCTGGCCATCTTGATAAGATCAATTTGGGTGAAGAGTGCAAAAAGGCAGCTAGACTTTTTTTTAACCAAAGGCAATAAGTAGAGACACAGAATCTCTGTCCTTGTTTTCTTTGTCAAGATGAAGACTGCCTCATCTTGTCTGACTCATCTTCCTTTGAAGATCTTAGCTCAAATATTTCTTGCTTTGAGAGGTGCGCCTGATTAGAGAAACAAACAAATGAATGAATGAATGAATGAATGAATGAATAAATGTGCTCTTATTTCAGCATGTATCTTTACTGGTGTATTACAAATGCAGTCTTCAGAGTTTCCATGATGTGAGTAACACCCGGGTGGAGAAGGCTGCGCATCTGAGTGCACCCAATGCCTGGGTCTGCTCAGTCTGGCTAAAGCTCAGTACGTCGCCTGGGGCCCAGTACAGACCACACACGTGTTTGGTGTTCATGCACACACCTTGTTTGTAATCCCAGCACTCTGGAAACTGGTACAGGAGGGTCAGCAGTTCAAGACCAGCTTGAGTTACTAAGCAAGACCTTGTCTGGGAAGCAGGAGGCCAGGTGCATGAGCATGAAAACACTCATGGTATTTTCTACTCACAAAGGCACTGCGTACTGTTGGTGAAGAAAGCTAGGCGGTTGGATGGAAGAAAGTGATGAAAGTATGCTTTTTATGAGGTACTAAGCCATCTGCAGAGCAAACAGTTCTGTGACTCAGGTGGAACCAACGTCATACTAAGAACAAGCACATCCACAGATCTCAGCTGCATGAGCACTTCTTGGGCCATTCTTCTGTCTCTTCCCTTTCCTGACACCTCTCAGATGTGGTTCATGGCAGAACCGACCCTCCTTGTGTATCTAGTGCACTTACGGCTTCTTCCTCATGTTTGTCCTTGTGTACTGCGTCGTTGCTTATTAACCATGCAGCATTAGAGTTCCATTTTGAAATACCAGGCAGCCACTGGCCTGACGCTGCAGCAGCAGACCTACTCAATGTTTAGCTCCAGGAAACAGTTCTTCTGTTTTCCTTTTTAGGCTGATTTTAGTTAAAACAAGTTCCAAGAGTAAAAAGCTTTTTGAAGAGTAAAAAGCTAGTATGAATGTTAGTTGTACATCTTATTGGTGTGCAGTGGTTTCTTCAGTAGGAGCAAAGGCTCGAGGTGATGGCTATTCTTGGTTGTCAACTTGACCACATCTGGAATTAACTAAAACCCAAGCACCTGGGCACACCTCTGAGGGGTTTGTAGTTAACTGGATCTTTTGAGGTTGACGGACACCCTCAATCTGAGCCACACCTTCTTGTGGCAGCCTATATAAAGGATAGGGAAGAAAGACACTTTGCCTTCTGGGTGCTTGTCCTCAATCTCACTGGCATTAGAGCCTGTGGTTTCGAGATTCCGATGACATATACTGAAGACCACCTGAGATATCCAGCCTTGTGAACTGAACAACTATTGGATTCTTGGACTTCTGCTGAGAGACATCGTTTGTTGGACAAACTGAAACACAGCCTGTAAGCTACTCTCATAAATCATGTTTGTGTGTGATAAACATTTTAGAAGTTCTTACTGAAAAGAGGATGCTGAGGCAAAACTTGAGTCAATTAGCATGCTTTGAAATACCTAAGTAAATAGCATA